TCTTTTCTGAGCTCAGAGGTGGCCACTCTTAAGGTGCACGAACATGGGATTGAGATCACTGATGCTCCTCCTATCCTGACCAATACTTGTGAGTTGAAAGATGGACATATTTCAACCCCAAAGCATGTGACTTTACAAAGTTAAAGGACCCTTTCCATTTACATCCAACCTCACCACGCCCTGAGGACACTGCAGTCTGCTACCTCTCTCCATTCCCACTTCTCTAGACTCGTTGTGCTCTGAGACCAGCGAAGAATCCTCCCCAAATATTATGCCATGCCCCTCTAGCCAACATGGCTCTTCCTCCTCTAGTTCATGCCTTCCTTAAAGCAGACTCTCACTACAAATAATGTAATACTTTGCTCTTTAGTGTTTGTATGATTTAGCGTATACTGTATGACCAACATGGAGGTGGTAGGTTCAATGTGTAGAGTTCAACTCGTGTGGGGAATGGATGAATGAGTAAACAAATGAACGCAAACATAGATCTTCCAACTAGAAAGACGCGACATCACCTCTTACTAACTCCATGACCTGTATCAAAAGCATCTTAATTAGTATGAGCCTCAATGTCTTTATCTGGAGAAATGGCAATAACACCACATGACTTAGAGGAACAAATGAAGTACCCGTGTCAAATGCTTCCAAAGCGAGCGTGTCCTTCTCCTATGCCAAGTGTGCAGTGAGCTGGCATTTGTCCTTTATTTTTAATCCTTTGAGAAAGTTCAAAGTGTGTGAATTTGATCATATCCATCTTCCGCTATTTCCCCCTCCAACTTCTCCTGGACCTTCCCACATACTCACCTCCAAACTTCATCTCCCTCCCCCCTTCTCCTCCTCCTCTTTTTCTTCCAATATTCCAGTAAGTCCACCTAGTACTTCCTGTCGTGCATGGGTGTGCAACGATCCACTGGGGTATGTGTTCCTTTTCTATGCGACTCTTTTAAGGGCTTAAAAAAGTGCAGGAAAGCTAAACGACTTCCCCACCATCAAAGTCACAGTTGAAAATGTTTCATGAAGTTTTCTACTATTTACTCCTGAATTGTGGCAGATTTCATAGTTAGATTTTGATATATTTTTACATTTATCTATTTTATTAGTTTTAAGTTATACTTATGTCAAAAATTCAATATTATAAAAATATACCTGCAATTATTTTTTTCACTTAGCATTATTTACAATAGCCAAGGGATTAAAATAACACAGTATTTATTGATGAATGAACTGAAAACAATATACAATTGAATTTTATTCAAGCCCGTAATAAAAGGAAATCCTACCATTAACACTGGTATGAGCAACATACCATTGGCCAAACCCCCAAAGAAGAACGAGTCTTCCTCCCCTAGCAACTGCTGACCTAGCATTAGCTCTTCAACCAGGGAGCTAGAGCCGTGCTTCTCAGCCTTCTTAAGGCTGTAGGCCTTCAATACAGCTCCTCATGTTGTGATCACCCCAACCATAAAATTATTTTTGTTGCTACTTCTTGACTGTAATTTTGCTACTGTTATGAATCATAATGTAAATACTTTTGGAGAAAGAGATTTATTCAGAGAGTTGTGACCCACGGGTTGAGAACCACTGATCTAGCGTGATCATCAATGCTGAACTTGATCTAAGGCAAGTTTTACCCAGACTGATAAGAACAACTGGTACAACAGCTGTCCTGTCTAGCTCTGCTTTCCATCCTCCATCTTTTCCGTTCTTTCTGCTTGCTCTTCTGCGATGTCCCCTTAGCTTTGGCAGGGACAGGAGGGCGTGACAAAGGCTGAGCACTTTGATACTTACTCTCAGCACTTTGGTCCATCATGAGTCTTTGCTCGGACTATAGCGTTCTGGGTTGTCTAAACCAGTCCACATTCCACGGGCTTTTGTTCTTTTCAACTCTTCACTCTGGGACAGGTCTATTATAGTTGATTAGGATGGAACTGGACTTGTCGACTATGAAGAAGCTTCCAAAAACCAAGATCAAATACCCCCAAATAAAGACACCTGGAGCTCCAGATGCAGATGTGCGCCGCTGTGCCTTCTCATCCAAGAAGAGAAATCCCCACCTCTTGTCACCGTTCAGAAATGTCTGAGTCACCCTCGATCCCAGCATCCTTCATTTTATTTTCCTCTTCGCCCCTGAGTCTTGCAGATCCCAGGATACGGGAGGCACTGGGTATATGTGTGTAAACTCACTTATGTCATGATTCCCAGGCGTTGGAAATTTAACAGGCTAAAGCGGGAGGGAAATGCTTTCAGAAGCATTTAGCTTTTGGTTTCTGAACCATATTTCAACAGACGAAACTCCAAAGCTCCTGAGGATCACCCGAAGCTGCAGCCAGAACAGCCCTGGGCCAGGCGGTGTTGAATGGTGTCCTTTACACCCTACCTCGTAAATACTCTCTGCCTAATGAACCCATGCCCCCAAACAGCCCCTGAACTGCTCTGCTAACCCCAATACATGTTAAATTTATGATTTCTAAACAAGATGAAAGACCCGATTGGACTTATTTCCCTTAAAAAAAATAAAAAAATAAAAAATAAAAAAACCCAAGGCATTCCACTCCTGGCTGTGAGAAGGAAATCTTGCTTAGAGTCAGCATCCACTTGCAGCCGATCCTTGGGCAAATCCTCCTTGAGAATTCCCCTGGATTTGCAGCAGGCGCCTTCCTTTCCCAACCAGCCCGGCCTAGCACTCTCACCTTATCTTGCATGTGGCAAGATTCCGTCTCCTCCTATGGCTACGTCTAGGCTTCCTACCTGCCTGTCATGGAGCAATGGTCTTCAAATTGCCCTTTCTGGGTTCCTCTTTCCAAGGAAAAACATAGAGAGTCTTAGTCAGAAGTAAACTTGGAATTCCTCTATTCAATTTACAGGTAAGAAAACTGAGGCCCAAAGAAGATAAAGAATTCAAAAAGCTTAGAGCAGAACCCAGGGATCCCTGTTTGGAAACTGACCTGCCCAACTGGCCTCAGCAGCTTCTCCCCTGGCATGCCACATCTTCCCTTTGAGCTTGGCCCTTGTGGTATCTACCTGGGAGGGTCACATTAGCCACCCTCCCCCAGTCCCAGCTCTAACAGCTCCAATGAAACAAGCAAGCTAAGGCACCCAAGAAGAGGAGACCCAAGGACACTTTCCAGACAATCTGAGATAAGCCTTCTGAAGGGTTCAGCGTTGTTGACCCAACCAGAAAAGTAACTTTAGGGAAGAGCATCTGAAATTGAAGAATTCATGAGGAGCTGGCATCTGAGGGTGAGGTGTGGACCCAGGTTAGGCTATGATCAGAGGAGGTCATCAGACCAATCTGCTTTCACATCAAAATAGACACTCTGTGAGCCAGAATTGTGACACTTGGAATTCCTCCTTTGCAGGAAAGGCTGTCCTCGATTCTGTCCCCTCCTCCTATGGCAGATTGAGACCAGGTCCACACTGAGCAAGCACATTAGCTTTTTCAAGAACCACCTCCACCCTACACTCACCCCCAGTACACCCAACATACTCCCTTCACCCAGAATCTAGAATGGGGCCAAACCCAAGGGCAAGCACACTAGAAAGTACCAAGGAGCTTCCCAGCCTGTCATAACACCTGGGTCACCATCTCCGGCTCCTTCTACCCAGCTCTGCAGCCCTGACAAAGTATCAGACTGTTTGGGGTCTCCGTTTACACGTGAAAAGATATGGGCATTTGCAACAGCTAGGAGGCAGGAAGGCAATGAGAAGATAAAGTCTCCTCAATGCGGTTCAGAACCTTTGCAAAGCCAGGACTCCTCACCCTTGTTACAGCCAGCCGTCACTCCTCATCCTCCTCCCGGGTGTTCCTAAGATTTTGCAGTAAACACCCAGATTTGCTAAGTTACTTGGCAGAGTAAGCTTCTTCTCTCACTTAAACTCCCTTGCTCTTGGGCTCAGCCTCCACCAACTGAAGTTTTATTTTTTATTTATTTATTTTTTTTTTTAAGATCACGAGGGAAGATTTGTCCAGGTCATTTCTCAGGAACCGGAAAACAAAATCCTTTGGCGAAAATGAATTCTAGTCACCCGCCTGATCCCTGAGCATGCGTGATTCTTGATTCTGCCTGGGCACGGCCCACCGGGGTGCCGGGAGCGCGCCTCCTAGGAGCTGGCCTCTGTGTGTGATTTGAGCGTCTGATGATTCTTCACTCTTGGCCCTCTGTTCCTGATCCTGATACACTCCAGGCAGCTGCCCTGCTGTTTCCCTGCCTACACTTACCCCTCCAACCCGTTTAACACTTTGACCTTCAGGACCGGACAGACGTGCACGTGAGGATTGCACGTAGCTGCACCACTTTCTCTGTAAGGTGCAGGAAGAGAGAATGGACCCAAGGGGCAAACCGGGGCAGGCAGATCAGCATGAAGCACTTAGGGAGACTGGAATCATCTCCCCCCATCCTTAGGTATTCCTGTAACGTTGAAGAACCCGTTTCTTGCACTTTGAGAGGTCTCAGAAATTATTCAGACGTGAGGACGTAATCAGGAGGACACCCCTCCTCCCCTCCACTAAAGCAAATGGCTCTGAGGGCACAGTTCACGGGGAAAGCTCTCATATCAAGCCCGGGCCTTAAAGTGGACATAAATATCAGGTCAGTTTTACAGTCGTTTATCCCACTCTGGGGATAAAACACATAAATAAACTGGAAATGGACACTTCTCCTGCCCCAGGGAGATGATCTTGCCCCAGGCTCCAGGCATGCTGCCACGTAGCAAAAGCAGCCAGCCCTTTTCTGCCTGATTGGGGTGGGGTGGTGGCAGAGGGCCATCTCCCTGAGGGACAGATCCCTGGGCTTTCTGTACCGTCTCGAGAGCCACCCTTTCCCTTCTCTCCTTCCTTCTCTTTATTGCTGCCACCGTCCCTTCCACAACACCCACCCTTCACCCTGGGTCTTCCAGGGTCTGCCTCCATGTCTTTCTACTGTGTCATTGGCATTGTGGTTGCTTCCTAGTCGGGCCTGTTGGCTTGATTTTGAATCAATTTTTAATTGCAGTAAAGCATCTATATTGTAACATTTATTACTTGAACCCTTTCCAGAATGTTTCCATTGTCCCCATGTAAATCCAGGACCCACTAAACAGTAACCCCGCCCACTGCGTCAGCTACTGCTGATGGCTACTCCGTGCCTGTGACTTTTCCAAGCCTGAGAATCTATATCTGGCTTCTTTCACTCAGCGTGATGTCTTCAAGGTCTGTCTCCGTCGTGGCATGTGTCAATATTTCATTTCTTCCAATGACTGAATATCACTTCATGGGGCATCTGGCCACAAGGTCTGTCCAGCCTGCATTTGTTGATGCTGCAGACACCTGCTGCGGCCTCTGCTTTCAGGTCTTCGGAGGATTCTCCCAGGGGTGACGCTCCCGGATCACGTGGCCAGATTCACTTTCCCGGATCACGTGGCCAGATTCACTTTCCCAGGGATTGCCGACCAATATCCCAGAGCGGCTCCTCTCCTTTACGTTCCCATCAGCAACGCAGCTTCCAGCTCCCTGGGGTCCGCACTGATGCCTCTGTGCCTCTCTGTCTTACTCATTGGTTTGGTTGCGTATTTGTCCTTAATGGCCATCTTAGCTGGTCTGATGACAGACGGCAACTCGGGGATGCATTTCTCCTGAACTAGAACCAACCCAAGATGAAGTCACAGGCCAGTGCTGAGGAGTTGCTGGCAAGGGCCTCAGATGTGACGCCTAGGAAAAAACAAACAAACAAACAAACAAACAAACAAAACCAAGACAGAAGACAGAAGACCAAACTTGTCCACAGACCTCACTCCATGCCACCTTCATGCCACTCTGGAACATCTGCCTTGGGGTCAGACTCAACCTGCTGCCAGCTATAACCTCAGGAGAGCCCTCAAACCATGGCAGCCAGTTATAACCTCAGGGGAGCCCCCAACCATGTCAGGTCTCAGTTTCCAGTCAGCGATCCTGTGGCACAGCTGCAGCTCCACTTCTGGTAGGTTCCACAGTGCTGTGATGAACACCCTAGGAGAGAATGCCTCACAGGCTGGCACCGCACACGCGTAGACACTCACGGCAGGACGGGAAAGAGAGCGGTGGCCCTCCATGAGCTTACCCACGTCTCCTCCAAAACCCAGTGGCTGCTTCAGCCACACTGGGCGGCAGCTGCTTGGGGATTTCACAAACTGGCATCACAGATTGTCACATCTTGTTCCTTTGAGCCTCACAGGACAAAGTCAAGGCCTAACACGGAAAGACACTGTGGGCTCTCCATTCCCCAGGAAGCGTCTGGGGATGACGTCTCAAAGACCAAGTGGGAGAGGGTAGTCAGTCTGAATCTGAACTATGGGAAAAACACACATTTGAATGCGTACACTGGAACATGCTAATTAGCAATCCCATGCCACCCATCCTCAGGTCCTGGCCCATCTGTGAACATTTAGATCAATCTGAAGGGGTAATCTGAACTTTAAGAGCCTCAAGAAAGAAAAAAAAAAAAAGACCACTCTGTTTTGCATTTCTTAATGGAAGGGATGAGGGCGCAAGTTTCTCCAGAGTCCTGGATAGATGTGGCTGTTCAGGTGTACACAGGAGTAAAATCGGTCCTGGAGAGATGAAACTATCCCATGAGGGTTTGTGGAAGTCCTTCTGAAGGCCACTTCTACTTGGGCATCTGTATAGGGCTGATTCGCCACTCAAGAATTATGTTCATGACACTGGGCTGGCTGTAGGAAACGTCGCGAGAGTTTGGGTTAGGCCTTGTAGAGAGAGGGGACTTTGCAATGAAAAGCTGCAGTTTGTGAAGCAGGAGACTCACCCTATGGAGGAAGTCACCTGGGCTGAAGAACCTCAACAAACACCGGCACCAGACAACGCAAAGCTGAGACGCCTGCTCCTCAGTCTCCTTAGCTGGGAGACTAAACGTCTGGATGTGTCCTCTCCTCTGCCCAACGGGGAGTAAACTGGGCCCTACTCAAGGCCAATGAACAAAGTCTTCAGACCTCATGCTCCAACTTCATGCGCCAACCCTCTGAGCAACTCCCCTGTCTGTGCCCTACCTCGGCAGAGAGAATGTTTGTTCTGCCTACACACGAGCACCAGATGGGCCTCCTTTGGAGTCCTTGAGATCTGATTGATTGGCAGGTTATCCTTTAACTCGTTCACACCTGAGTGTTACCACACTCCTGTCCTTTGTTGTGTAAGACTTTCTCTCCTAATTGTCTCACAAAGGCATTCTCACCTTGTTAGAGGAGCTTCAGGTGGTGGCAGGTGTGGGGAGGACGAGTTAGTCCCAGCTGCCATGAAACCTCAGCCTGCTAGAGGTCTAAGGCGGCCTGGGGAGCCCTATTCTTCTCATTTCCATACCTATCTCTAACACCCACTCTCAAGGAGGTGGGGTTTGCTCCTGGGATGAGTTAGGAGGGGACACAGCCTTACCTTTTTACACTAAGCCCATATCACTGTCGGAACAAATGATGTTTTCGGTAGCCTCGGCTACCATACTTCAGACTTTTGTCAAAACAGAGAGCATGACTCGGTTGCCCAGAGGCGAGGCTACTGTCTGTGCATTTCTCCTGGCTCTCCAGGGATGTTCAGCCGCTGTGGCTCCATGGTCACACTTAGAGGCTCAGGTAGCCCATGCTCCCAGCTGAGGAAGGCTTCTGAGAGACCCTGAGAGCTGAGGACACTTCTTGCTGAGCTCACAGAGTCAGCCCCCAGGAGAAACGCAGGGTCTAATGCCTCAGTGTTGGCCTGAGAGGAAAGCATAACTCACCTGCTGGGGTGGACAGTGGCAGGAAGTCCAAGGGTCCCGCAGTCTGTTTGTGCCACTCAGGAAAGAGGAACTGACCTCTTTCTCATGGGGAAGTGCATCTTCTCTTCTAGAAACCACAGGCCCACCAGTGAAGGAGCTGGAGTGAAGTTCCTGTGAGGGCCGCTGGGTGTGGGCCTACCACTCACAGCCCCACCCAGAGGGGCTTCCTCTCTGGGAGCTGGCCAGACCCCTGCTCGATCCCAGGAAACCAGCCTCTCCAGCCCGACCTAGCCTCCCTTGCCTTCACTGCACCAACGCTGCGCCTCGAAGCCCAAGCCAGGAAAGCAAGCTGTGTGCACTGACACTTAAATTAGATCCTGGCAATTATCTCTCCATTCTGACTTGCCCCGTGCTTCTTTGTCGCTTCTTTTTATAGCTAAAGTTACTCGCCCTCGTTTTAAGTACACTGTGCATAAGGCATAGGCCAACTTCTGATATATTCCCACAAGCAAAATTAAATACCAGTAACATGTGTTTCAGTGAATTGGGTCCCTCAATTTGCATCTTATAATAAGGATGCTATCATACTGGTTTACGGCTCAGCTCTTTAGCTTTATCTCTCAGGGGCTAGATTCCCCCTCATGAGTTCAATATAAGTCTATGAACTCATGCAATTCTTAAAACACTTTTCTTCCGCGTTCACATTAACACTTTCGCGAGTGAAAGGGGTTTAGCCCTGGAGTGCACAGAACGTTTGCCACTGTGGAGGGTGTGGTGGGCTACGAGCCGTCTGAGTCCTCCAGGCTGGATTTTAAGTGAAAACAGTCAGTAATCCGGGCTGCCACGGAACACGGCTTCTTTCACCTCTTCACACTAAGACGTAATCTCCAGTGTCCTCATTCCCTTACATTTAGATTAATTATAAAACATTGTCACCAGAATATTAAAGTAATGTTTAATACACAGAAGGGAATAAGGTATTCTGGAAAATGCATAATTTCCCTAGGATGATTTTGCCAGTTGCATGCAATATGATCTTTTGATTGCCAGCTATAGAAATATTGTGACTAAGCCTTCACTAGCTTTTTATTTTTGCAACCATCCTGTCATAGCACTTTGAAAACTGTAAGCTTGGCCCACAGGAAAAAAAAAAAAAAGAGGTGCCCATGCTAGAGTTCTTTCCGCTTGGTTCCAAAAGAGGGCAAGAAAAGAGAGTGAGCCGTGTAAGGGGAGCCCCCTCCACGTGGTCAGGCCTAATGTAACCATGTGATAGGGAAAGGACAGACACTTAGCCTGGGACAGGCCTAACGCGCACATGCGCGCACATGCGCACTGTGTCCTTTGCACAGGAGGCGGTGCCTATCCTTCCAACAGGACGTGCCCGCGTTCCTGAAAGGACAGCTTGAGTTGGCTGCCTTGCTTCAGATTTTCCAAGCCCTCTGTAGCAGTACGCCTGAGAGACCCAAGTGGACACATAGGGCTGCCGCAGGAGGAGGCGTCCAAGCTAGCGGGGTGAGATGGGACCGTCATTCCTTGGGGGAACAACAGCTTCTGGGGACTGGTTTCCTCGGCGACCTTCCTCTAGGTACTGGACGCTGTCCTTGGCTATGTTGGTTAACAACCAAATGTCATCATCTGCCGGAGGCTCCTGCCTCGTGAGACCTCCTGCCCAGACGTCTTCACTCCAGGTCTCTATGGGTGAGACTTTCCGACACCAGCAATGGCTTTACAAGCAGTAAGAACCGTAGAAGAAGGGACACACATGCCAGCGTTCACGAGGCATCTGGTGACCCTGTTCTTCTGGGACACCAATGAGGACGCTGTAGCATTCATTCTTTGGAGTGTTTTAAGGCTCACGTGAACTCGGAACAGTCGCTCCCGGACACCCAGTGGCAGTACCGCCAACACCTGCCATCTTGCTTCTATTTTCCTCAAGTCTTCCTGTGTCTTTCTGACCTCCACCCTCTGTTCTCTAAATCACACACTGGATATGAAAAGCCAAGCCCTCTCCCCTCACAGGACTCAGTCTGGTGACTTGATTACCTCTCCATTTGCAACAGGGAGGCCCCTTGGGTCAGAATTCAATGTGATTTCCAGTAGGAGAGGGGATAGGTTTACTCTGCTCTCTCTGCCCGTCCACAGCTGTCCTGTAGACACAAAGCCTCCTCGGGCTCGGAGAGCGCCAGCTGACCTTCAGCCTGGCTGATTTGCTGTGACCCTTACCGCTTGGAGAAGAAGGGTGGAATCCTAGGAGTCATACAGTCTCTAAGAGGAAGGCCCTAGAAACAGGAGAATAATGACGACCCAAGACCAAGGCCCCAAGTGCTACCGAGATCATGACCGTCATCTCAGGTAAGGCATGTCTTTCTGTTCAGAAAGAGAAGCAACAATATGAATGAGTATGTGTTGCAGAGAAGACATCCAGAAGCAATGTTCTGTGCAACCGTGGAAATGTGCCCTCTTCCTACACATAAACCAACACGCACACTCACTGGGAAAAAAGAAAAGGCAACGTACGCAAACAGGTCCCTGGTACTCACACATGAGCTTGCTAACTCAAGGACATGTGCCCTTGAGTGATTGTAACATTGCTAAGATGTGGGCTGAGCCCTGCACTTACCCAGAAAGGGGGTGTTTAGTATACAAGGGGGCTCTATCTTCTCACAAGACTTCATCTCAAAGACCCCACTTCCCCATCAAAGTCCATAAAGATACTTACTGGTTTTGGTTGCTCTTTACTGTACTTCAGTGAGAGGGGAGATTGAGGCCATCCTGGCAATAGCAATGCATGTGTGTATCTATGGGATAATCCCCACTCTTTTGACTGACTGCTGCATCCTTACTTTTCACCAACTGAAGGATGAGACCAGGGATAAGTCACAGAAATCAGTTCTCTACTCTCAGAGAAAGTCTCGGGTGAAAGAGGCAGTTTGCTGCCCAATCCCTGATTTATGACGCTGGACAGTTGCCGAGCAGGCCAGCATCTAAGACGGGCAATAGTAGGCGGGGGGGGGGGGGGAGGGGGAGATAGGGAAGGATACCATGATATAACGCATGACTGCAAAGCAAAAATCCAAAGTCTCTATTTTTGAAACATCACCTCCCAGAGAGCAAAGCCCCAGTCTGTTCTTAGAATTCTTCTCTGATTGCCTGTACATTTGTTTATCCCTAATCCACATAATCCTCAGGAAACTCATTTAATGACACACCAAATGGCATTAAGGTAAAATTGTGGAACACGACTTATATTGACATGTATGGCTAAGAGAAATCAGCATAGCACAACTTTTGCAAACTTTCACAAGTTTGAGACTGTTTTGATCTGGTGCTTAAATTCTGTTGGATCGTTTTTAAATCTTCCCCTTCACAATTCTTGGGGTTTGCTGACCTACAAAAGTCCTTCAACTTTGTGTTCTTCTGGTTAGGTTTGTCATTTTCATTCCAGGCTCGATGCTAAAGGGTTAAATGCTTGGTGAGAAATGGTACCTTCTGTGTGTAAAAATAGGAACTGGCTGGCTTGTCTGGGCCCCAATGTCTGTATCTTTAAGCTCTTCTTACAAGTGTCTCAGAATGGTCAATCCGCAAGGCAGGCCTTTGGGTGGTTTCTGAGACAGCCTGAGATGAACCTAGACAAGCACAAATGGGGAATTCAGATGGACTGTAGAGGGTGCTCACTAGCAGAGACGACTAATACGGTGACCCAAGTGCTGTCCCCATGGCAGAGACAGAGTGCTGGGCAGTCTTATAGAACTGGCTTCCCGTTGGTCACTTGTGACCAACTTCACTTCCTTTGAGTCCCCTTCAGTCCGCTTGACATCCTGCTACAACATCTCTTAAACTCGCCTGTGGACATGGTTCTGGAAAGGCATTTACTGGCCATATACGTTTTTAAGGTATATAAAACAAAAATACAAGTCCATTAACCCACCATTAACAGGCCTCTAACACACGGCTCCGAATCAGCCTCCAACGTTAGGTTCCAGCATTTCCACAGAGGAACCCCTTCCAGCCACAGTGGTCGAGCCATCAGCACCGGAGCAGTGCTTCCTTGAGCTGGACTGAGCTTGGCATTTCGACTTTTCACCAAAATTCTAACCTGCTTTTGAGGGCCGTCACAACTCACCGTCTCTGCAGACCCCAGAAAATGATGTCCTTCCTCAGCGTTCCTCCAGTTTTCACCTCGTTTATGGAGTAATCGCATCAGACCCAACATTACGTGTTCTTATTCCTACAACCTTATCCACCAGAAGACTGACTAACTCTGAGGAGGGTCTTGTACCTCTGAATGGTTCCTCTCGTGACTGGGACACCACCTGGCGTACTGCAGGGTGTTAGAAAAGCTCCATCTCTGTGTTGCTATTCTAAGAGGTATTGTAATACTGGGCATGGGAGAACTCCAGGCTTCTTAGTCACGTTCCACTAGAAAGAGTTAGCAGGACATTCCGGCTCAGCCTGGAGGGGTAAAATACCCAGGCTTTACCCCGGCGCCGGTCACTTACCTTTGATAGCAGGACAAAGACTATGTCCCCATACTACTCTCGTTCTAAAGCATGTGGTGTCAGTATTTATAAGCAAGACTGAGCCAAATATATGAGGAGCCTTCAAGATAGACCCATCTCTGTCCTTTGAAAAATAGTTTGTAAGTCTGCATGCCAACGATGCTACATAAAGAGTAGCGTTCTCGTTCGCCCCACAGTGCTAACACCCCTCCCCTGGAACTGCTGTCTACATTGGCAAAGTGAATTATATATTAGCATTTTAAAAGGCCCACTGTTTCTCACCACATCAGCTTAACCGAGACCAGTTATTTAGTGGGATTCTAATTAATTTAATTCTCCACTGGTGGCAATTTCTGATGGGCAATGACTGTGCCTTTTACCTCTTTGTATCCCTTGCCTAGCACTTTACCCAGCCGGCTGCCTATAGCGGGGATGCCATAAATATTTGTTGATTGAACAAATGAATGAGCCTTGCGGCAGACGGAGAAGATTCATGAGTGAATTCTTAGATAAGCTTCATAAGACCAAACCGAAGTGGTCCTCTCAGAGTGGCAGGAAGAAAGCCGGCTGGCCTTGCTCAACCATCAACAGAACCTGGCCTTCAAAGCAAGAACATTTTAATTCTAATTAGCACTGGTGCTGATTTTTTTCTCTGAATATGATACACAAGACTCAGTGTTACCAATGTGAACAGGACTCTTGAATGAGATCAATACGGAGAGCCACATGCAGAGGGAGAGGTGAGAAGTTTAAAAGTGGAGGGTTCGTGGAGCTGGAGGGATAGGCACCCACGTAGAAGCAGGGTGGAGCAGGATGGATTTACAACCCCAGCTTTTGCAAATCCCAGTTTACAGCCAGGGGAACAGAGAGAGAAATATTCCTCGACTCACTGGCCAACCAGCTTGGTCGAAAGGAACTATCAAATCCAGGTAGAGTGAGAGAGTTTGTCTCAGGACAATAATAAGGTTAAGAGCTATTGAGGAAGTCACTCAACATCAACTCTGGCCTCCATGTGCAGATGTGCGCACAGCCACACATGTGAACACATAAAGAGACAGGATTCAGGGATCATTCTATGGTAGCAGTGGAGGTTGTCAGGTCTCTCTCGGCTCCAGTCGAAGGGGAGAGATAATTGTAGCTAGTGCACAAGAAGGCCAGAAGAATGCAATAACGGAACAAAAGCACGAGACACAGGGGTCCTTTCCTTAAGCCTAGAATGTAGGAAAATCTCAATAAATATTAACTAATATTATTTTCATTTTAACCTGTTGTTCCCTCTAATCTACACTCCAGGCAGGCAGTTCGCCAGCTAAGGGTAAGAAAGGTTAAGTTCTTCATCAGAGATGGTCTGTAGGACACACCCAATGTCTTGATCGGCAAGTAGTAGGGGTATGAATATTTGCCTTCTTGAGTCTTGCAGAGCAAAGGCCAGAGGGACCTCTACCCTTAGGGCACAGATAAAATGACCCAGGGAACTAGGTCTCACAGTGACAGCTTAAATTTCCATTCAACATCAAAATCACTGCTACTTTCTTCCCTGAAATATAAACTTAAAACGAATATGGTTTTGCCAGGCCAAAAGCATAGCCCCCTACCCTAGGTCACATCCTGATGGCCACGAATACTGGAGTCCAGTACTCTAAATCTATGACAGAGTCTAAGAGTATGGGATATCCTCTACAGTTGTGACTGTCACGTGTTGCCTGAAGGTGGAGACTTGAGAAGGTGGGGCAGGCTCGGAACAGTGTCAAGGAGAGACACCGCCCTGAGCTGCAGGCTCACAGAATGACCCACCAATGCTGTCCTGGCCCATCAGTGTCAGAGAGGAAGAAAACACCCCTGAGAGAGGCAGAAAAGCCAGAAGAGGCAGAGTAAACTACAGGTCAGCCGACACAGTGGGATGGCTGTGAGGGAACGTGTGTTCCTGAGGTCTGAGCTCTGGGTGGGTCTCTGAAGAGGGGCATTTGGATGGTTCGGGGAAGCAATCAATGGGCAGAATTTGTTACTCTGAAACAAGGACCAAGCCACTGCAACTCCTAGAGCGCAAAGGCAGGCCAATGATCACACACCTCTCAGCGGGCTCTCTGAGGAGAGAGGACCTCTGAGGAGGTCAGAGAGGGCAACAGGGGCTTGCGTTACCAGGAGGGAAAGTCTTGGAGCCCATTACGGCAGGATGAGAGAGACAGGTGAACCCTTCCCTTCAGATTCTCCTCAACTGGGAGGAGAGCCCAGGGATGCTACCTTCCAATGCCAGCCCTGTTCTATTCCAGAGTGAGCTTTGCTTTTACAAATGCTGATATGGCTGCAGTCCCATCAGACCCTAAGACATTCAGAGTCCACCCGCGTCCTCGCCAAGGCAAGAAGTGGCAGAAGAGCTGAAAGTAAGGGCGAGGCTGCCTATGTACATCTCCAGACAGAGCCAGGGGCCTGGTCCAAAGAGGAGATGCATCCCTCTTCATCTTTCCCTTCATCATCCCGCACAGGGAAAGAACAGACAGCGAAAATAGGGCGGCAAGAGGAGCAATCCTCACAGCCCAATGCTGCCGGCCATCACATCAGTCCACCCTGCAGGCCACTCCATCTCCCTGGGACCTCTGTGCTCCAGAACAATACCTCCTGTAACAAGATTCAAGGCATCCGATTGGCTCTTTGGATTCCTAGCAGGATGTGATGCAGGCTTGCAATTCAAATTAAGTGGGTGTTTCTCTTAAACCCTGTCTAGAGAATGGAACAGATTGTGAAATCTATTTAAGTCATTTGTGATGAATCTGGTTTGATGAGTGGCTCTTTTTTATGCCCTTTTAACTTTAAAAACCATCTCTCAGCAATTCTCACTTCTTACGTTTATTTCCGCCATTGGAGGTGCAGATTCAAGACCCCTTCCAAGTAGCCTGAGCACCCAGCCCAATCATAGACACCACGGCGTAACCCTTCCTACTAGGGCCGGCACCACCACACAAGCCTTTGGCTGTTTCTTCATTTCTTCTGAGGTGTACATTTTTTTCCTGCAGGTGTACTCAACAGATCAACGGGACAAAATCTGTCATCTGAATCCCATTGCCTGAGAGCTGGAATACTTGGATTCCGGTTCCAACTCAGCTGTTAAGGCGCATGCTTTCCAGTTTGGCAATGACATTCCTGTACACCGTGCGAGCATAGACTCTTCCTTCACCTCCAGGCCTCTTGTCCTGTCTGTAAAGTGAATAATTGTTATGGTTCCTTTCAGCTTTAGTCTCTTCTTTTCCTTCTGAATTTATACAACCAGGAGGAATACTGTCGTGTAAATGAAAGTGTTCTCTAGGCCCTCGGTAGAAGGGGCAAACACATGACAAGGGAAAAGGCAATGTGGTTAGACGTAAGGAGTTTTAGTTTACACTGAGGTGGTAAGTATATAATCCCTGCTTCTGGAATTTGCTGGAAGCGCGTTCTCCCAGTTGAAGGGAAACCAGAAGGGAGCAAGCCAAAGCATGGTGTCTCCACCATGGACTCAGAAGTGCGATGCTATTTCTCCGGGGCGAAAGGAATTCTGGAAGAGGGTAGGTGTGTTCTGCAGCATGTGTTGAACCGAGTTTCCACTAGACAAAGAACTCCTCAAGTCTGTTGCCTTCACACTGGACCCAAGAAGGAGCCAAGCCTATGTGGGGTACTGAAAGAAAAACGATGACAACCCGTACAGACCCTCTCTGTCGCTACAGTTGGGACACTGATGTGGAGGGGAAAATTATTATAGGAATGACTATCAGTACTGAGGTTTAAAGAGCTGCAGTAACTTAATAATCAGCTTCTTCAGATCGATGCTATTGTTAACAATAGATAAAAAGTAAAAAGATAGATAGATAGATACATACATACATACATAGATACATAGATACATAGATAGATAGATAGATAGATAGATAGATAGATAGATAGATAGATAAAAAGAAAGAATACAAAACCTGAACGGTATCCCTGAGTATTAGAAGGACCTGGCTGTAATCCAGAGGCTTCTAAAAATGCCAAGCATAAGTGACTGGACATATTCTGCCAAGGTCTGGGCACTTGGTGCAACCCTAGTAGAAGCCAAATTTGCGCTCCTTGATCAAGAGCTTTCATTAAACCATCACTGGGTTTTTGGTACTTATTTCTTGGATACTGCTAGCATTTAGTAGGCTGGTACTGTAAGCACTCCAAGTGGCTCTCCGCCATCACAGGCCCCAAAGTTCTGCAGACTTTTGTATGTGTGACAGTGGGACAGATGACGGCGCGGGTGTGCACAGACCAGATGAGGAGAGGATAAGAAGGATGCCGACAGATTTGGCCCCCATCATCCGAGCAGCCAACACTGTGTCCTCTAATGTGCGAGCGGTGCATGCTGGGCAGTCAATTAATCTCTGCAATTTGAAGTTCCTCTCTCCAGAGAGGGCACAGTGAGGACCCCAGTCAGATTTGTCAGTTCCTTTCCCCGCCTCCACCCTCCTCAAATAACCGTGACCTTGGCATATCACACAGCAAGATGGCTTCCCAAATCATCAATGCCATGCGAGGTTTCAAAACTTCTACCCCCACCCAGGCTAACACCCTTTTGCAATGAACCCTATATATGAATCTTACTTTCTTTTTTGCAACTAAAAAAGGTGTGAGCAAAGATGTGGAGTTTTGCTTATTTTTAGTGAAGGGTCTTTTTTCTCTACAGGGGAGGAGGAGAGGATACCTTTTACTCGCATTGGGTCACTCCTTTCCAACAAAGTGACTCTGAAAACTACCTGCTTGTTTAGCCACAGAGTCTAAGAAGAAGCAAGGTGGGGATGAGAACAGACCAGACCCGAAAGCATGGAGATCAGCCCGGTTCTCAAGGCTGCAGTTGTGCAGGACCGCACAACTGTTTCCCTTGGGTCTCCCAGGAGAGGTGGCACCACTTTTTCTAGGAATCAGCCAAGAGCTAGCACATCGAGGCGATACTGTTCACCAGATGCCTTGTGGGCTTAGAACTTAGATTTGAACAAGTCAGACAATGTGGTGCAGGGAGGTTTCTCTTGGCAATAACTGTCTGGAAGTCCTGTTCTGACCTAAGAACACCAAAAACACATTAAGAAGATGTGTGCAATCTAAGTTTGTATATGTCGTGAAAGGGCCAGAGAGAAAGAGAGAGAAGACTGCAAGGAGAAGCCCTTGCTCCATCAGCGGACATCATTGGTCTCTGTATGTAGAAACCCACACGTATGTTTGTGAGCCTGAATCGTCCATGTGCGAACAGCGGAAGCACTAAGGGAGGGGCATTCTCTTTTGACTCTAACGGAACAGAATTTAGCAGCATCAACTCCAGTCCAGAATCCAATACGCATGGGCTTAGCAAGCCCTGGTCTCCTCCACACTGGAGGCTGTGGGATGTGTCCCAGCGAGGCGCAGATGAAACAATGCGCATGAAAGGGCTGCCCAAATATAAACCAGAGCACTATTATTTATGATGAATAAGCACGGAGGAATCCAGGTGCCAATTATTCGGCTATCTTTTCACTGGGTTAGGTAATCTAGCCAGAGGGTGAATGGGTAAGATTTTCCCCACTTAGGTTCACAGCCAATATGTAAATCTGTAATGCACAGGTGTCTGAGATCTATTATTTATGAGCATATTTTAATATGCCACATTGTCTCTAGTTCTCCTCTGGATCTGTAGACAGTGGAAAACACCAAACTGAGAAGAGTCCTTGGTGAATTTAGCACCTATCTGTGGAGCTCAGCAGTGTCACGGATCTTTAGGATAGAAGGCGCTCCTGGTTGAAAGGGTCTGTTCTGACAGTTAGCCACCTCTTTCCTCCAGCGATGCTTGCCCCTGGTTAAACTCTTTACCGTATTTTCTGATGTAAATATCAGGCAGTTTCATGTTTGTTCGTCTGCATTAAGACCTAATCACTGGAATTTGGAATCCTAGCATCAGGATATTTCACAAGCAACCACTGGCTTTTACCACCCATCCGCTGTGAAGTTATCTTCCCTGAACTAAATTAACAAATTCAGCTCCTATGTGTAGTCACCAAAAGCATATATTTGAAAAAGAGGATTCAGTGTGCCATATTTATGCATTATTTAATGGTATGCAAATTATAAGTCAGACAGGAAAAACCACACGTCAGCATTAATAAACAGCAATACTTCTACATTAATTATGATATTGCCATGATTTATTCCCTAGTTTTGCATCTTGATTCTCTTTGAAAATGTATGCTATCTGATAAGTGAAAGCCTATTTCCTCTTGTACATCTTCTGTCCATCCCTTGAGTCTGGTCCTCATGCCCACCCCATGGGCTCCTTTAGGGAACAGGTACACAAACACAAAGCCCAAAGCGGCCACATTGTCTTGCGAACATTAAAAATTAAAGAACAAGCACACGCTGCCTAAAGCTCCAACATTTATTATGTCAATGTTAAGCACACTTTTTAAAAGACAACATAGAATGTATAGAAACAAGGGGTTCGGGGCTCATGCTCATTTCCACAATAAGGGTAGCTGGATTGGCTGGTTTCAAAAGGGTTGGACGGCGCTCGGACAGCGACGGTCCGGGGGCCCTCTAATGGGACGGGTGCACTGTTCCAATGCGGGTCTGTTTTTTTGTTTTTAACTTTTTATTAAAAAATATAAATAAAATGGCACTGCGGGCCCAGGCTGGAAGGACTCGGCAGGACTCTTGTCTTCGCACAACGGCTTCGTGAAGGGTTACTGTCAGAGAACACCACAAACTAGCAGGATGACGGGCCACGCTGACATCGGCTGGGCGGCACATGTCCACCCCGCCCCTGGGGGCTTCAAAGTTTCTCAGAACTTAAGGGCTCTGGAGCTTCCATCCGAAAACTGCCACACATCTTGAGCTCTCTGGGCACTACGCCGAATGGGGGTGTGTGAAGAACCTGCAAAGAGGTTGGAGACAGAGGAAGGAAAAAAAGTACAGGTGTGACTTGGCCTGGTGATTTTCTGTTCTCTTGCTAGCTTTTTCAAAACTATGACTTAAATCAACCACAGGGTGAGCCACTGGCAACGTCTCTAATGCAATCTCTCCCTCCCTGGAAACGTCCACCTCTGAGGTGCTTTCCCACACCCCCCGCCTCAGCACCCGAAGGACCCGGACTCCCTACCCCATCATACGGAAGGCCTACTGAACTCGGGACACACTTGGAAGGAAACATTGTTCCTTACGACTGGGAAAACTTGGCAGCAAACAGTCCTTCGGTCAAGGATAGGGAGAGAGGGGCGAGGGAAGGGAGACGGTTTCTTAAAATGATAATGAAATTATAAGGAAACAAAAATCAAAATTGATGTGAAAGCAGCTCAACGAAAACATGAAATGTCATCAAGTTCAACGTCAAAGCAGCCAACGAGTTACAAGAGGTGAACAAATCTCTGAGGAGAAAACCAAAAAGTCGCCCTCAAATTGCACCCAAACTGCCTGGAGCTTCTTTCAGACATGTGGGGTTTTTTTTTGTTTATTTGTGTTTTTGTTTTGGTTTTTGGTCCCGGGGAAGGCAATGGTGAAGGGAGGACAGTGGCGATGTTCCTCCAGGCTCCCCTTCCACCCCCGCCCTCTGTGGGCATTGCCTTGAAGCAACAGAACTGAGAGTCCAGATGTGCTGGGGATGAAGGCTAGCACTGTGGCATTCCAGGCCTCGTTGCCATGGTGACCTGAAGCAGGGGCCTGGGGCCTCCTCTCCCCTGACTCCATGAGGCAGGAGGCCTGGGGTCTGGAGCTCAGCTGTGTTCCCACATACTCCCCCCGCCCAGCAGTGGAGACCAGGTGGACTCTGGGGGATCCTGTCCCTGGCCCAGTGTTAGCACTGCCCTTGAGGCCTCTTCAGGGGATGCCCCTCCAAACCCCTTTGTCTGACCCACTACTTAAACTTAAAGCCCTAGTAGACAAAGCACACCGTACACATATACCATATTCCTGGTTACTTAAAAACTCACCCAGCCCTCCAGGGACCTGGGGCAGGGGCAGGGGGGGACGGGGTCCTGCTTAAGAGAAACTGTTTAACTTGTCTTTTTTATTTTTTTTTCATTGTCTCTGTGAAAAATCTGGTAGATTCATGGTGCCTTCCTAACATAGTTTTTGCCATGTGACAGAGAAGAAAAAGAGTCGTTGGATCAATTGCTGAGTTGTGTTCAGCCAAGTCTGGTTACTTAAGTACAATGACCCTTGTGAACTGGATTGGCTCCTATATTCCCCTTTGGGAGGGAGGGAGGGATCTGCTGCTCCCATGACAGATGACACAGGGAATTAGAAACAGGCCAGACTCCTTCCCCAAAGACTGACTCCCTGGTCCTGTGCTGTAGTGAATGAAACAGTGGGCTGACAGGATAATGAGATGCAGGATAGCAAGAGTGAATGGCCAACCATCCACGCCTGCAGTCTGCAGGGGTAGCAAGCTCTGGAGCACAGCCTATGCGGTCTAGTGTCCATTTCTTAAAAAAAAAAAAAAAAAAAAGTTCTGGGAAAGCCTCAGGCGATGCTTAGGAAGATTTGCTAAAGAGAGATCATGTTTTTTCAAAGTTAGTGTTCTCTCAAAACATAATTTCCCAAGTAGGTTGAAAATGCTATCAATCGCAGTGAAATTTCTACAACTTAAAAACAGAAAAAAAAAATCCCTAACACGCCAGGCCAGGGGACAATAGTAAATTCCGTGGTAAGGGACACAGAGAACACCGCCATCAGCAACCACGCTTGGGTGTGGAAGGGAGCACAAAGCCAGAAGACACAGCATTTCCTCCCTAACTCTCAGAGTAAAGGGGGAGGCGGTCAAGACCAGCCCAGGGCGTTCTCAGTCTCCTTCTGGGTTGGTCCCAGATAATCCTGGTGTCTTCCAGCCAACCCCGGTGTCTGTGAATACACCACCTTGTGTCCTTCCCTTCCCAGCTGTAACGATATCTAGTCCACCCTTCCCTCTGCATTCTCACTTCAGCCATTATGGATATTTACAATATGGATCGATTGCATATACAAAACATGGTATTTAGATAAACAGTTCTATCCACAGAATGCCCTGGTGTGGGCGGGGAGTGGGGGGGGAGAATCAACTACTTCACACTTTCTGCCACGGCTGGTACACAAGAAATGGCATGTTCACCCCACTTCTGAGCAACCTTTAAAATGTGCCGGATTCGGTCTTTCTGAAGACCGTAAATGAGAAACTAGCAAGCGACCCCAGGAAGGACAGAGTCACACAGGAAACATTTATAGGGGCTCGAATTTGCTGTATTCCTGCTTATTAAGTTTTTTTTTTCAAATGGAGTTCTCTTTGTTTTGCTTTGTTTATTCCCTTGGGAGCATCCTGGTCATTGGAGTTCACGTGCATAAATAACAGTCTACTGGCATGTCAAGACTTTCCAAAGCTCAACATGAATTCTCGGTGATAATGGACAGTCTTGGTACTTCCTCCTTCAAAGACCTATCAGTAATTCATGTTATGTGGTGGGAAATTTTTTTTAAATTCCTTTCTAGTACAATTTAAAATGTTTGGGTTCAGGATAGAAAATGTCCCTTAGAAGTTCTATTCTCAGTGTCCAAGTTTTCATGCCCCCTCGGCTCACAGAGCTTCAGAAATAATATTTTATCGAAGGGTTGTAATAAGTCATAAGAGGAAGTAACCTGAAGAAGCTGTCTCCCAACAAATTTATTTAACTTTGGGACCATGTAAATCAAGCATAATCTGTGATTTATCACCAGATATTTGCACCCCTCCCCATTCCCAGTTTGATTTAAGATATCTCAACCTATAAGGACACTGGATCCACCATTAATTCTGTCTGTCAGGATGCAAAATCTAATTACGCTAAGAGCATCGTATACCGAGGAATTAAAATAAGTACTGTATATAAAATCTGCACAGCTGCATGCTGAGCTCCCCTGGACAGCACAATAGGGACCCACAGACGCTGCATGGACAGCTAATATGGGGAAGAAGCCACCACCCTCTACAGCGAACAGGGCACAGGGACATATTCCCATTTGCTCTGGAATCAGTTTGGTACCCAGAAAACACAGATTTCTTCCCTTAGTTTACTGAAAAACAAAACAAAACAAAACAAAACAAAAGAAACAACTTTCCCAAGGTGCTTGACCCTCCCCCCCCAGTTCCAAACATCTCCCAGTGAAATCCCCTTTTCCCACTCAAACTGGCTTAAAAAAAATAAAAGTAAAAGCCAAATGCTTCCCTTTCTACTTAAAAAGGCCAAACTCTTCTGGCCTTGTATAGAAGGCCACTTGGCGGTCACCAGGAGGGAAGAATTATGCAACCAACAAAGATGCTACCACGAGAAGACAACAGAACAGCTTTTGTGTGGGTTTTTACAAAACTAAGAACACTGTCAGAGCCATCCATCTACACTGGAAACGGGGAGACAGTACCACAGAGGCATGTGCTATAATAAGGCAGGTTGATGCTACAACATGCAGTAGCTGGAAAACCGACAACACAGATTTCTAAGGAGAGGATTTGTAAAACAGACCTAACCTGCCTTTCAAGCCATTGCAAAACGTGAAAAGGTAATTAATTGAAGGGTTATCTACCCTTATTTGCCATCAGCAAGGTAGAACCTTTGATAGATATATGTATACATATATATGTATGTATGTGTGTATATATAGATATCTATACACACACACACACACACACACACCTGTGGCATGTTGAGACCATAGAATTTCAGAATCACAAGGCAAACCGTGATGCATCTTAGGAGCCCAACAACGGCTTCCGGAGATGTGGCTTGGTCTAGCCACCTCCGGTTGCTGGTCTACACTCTGCTCTTCCTATCTCTTTCCTCCCCTCATCTTATTACTGTTTAACAGATATAATATATTTGCTACCTTTGTTTCTGGAATTTTAGGGTTGAGGCAAAGAGTCGTATTTATTATAAGAGGTCGCTCTGTGGAAATAGGGAGCTACTTGTTTTAGGACCCCTTCTTTGGCATCACACTCTAGGGAAACAGCGGGAGAACGGAAGGACTCTGAGACACACGAGCACAGCAGAGAATCCAAAGGAAGTAAGTGGGCTGCTCCCGGGCTCACGTGTACCTAGTGCATTCTGCTAGGGACAGAGCAGAGGTTTTGAACAGTACACAGAAATCACTTCTCAATTAATCTAAAACTGTAATGCCTAAAACTACTTCCAAGGCTTGAGGTATGTCTATTAATATAGTAAGTACTTTATGCTCCTTTAGGGTATAATACACACATCAAAATGCCCATAGAAATAATTCTGAAAAAGACAGGCTGGCCTTCTCTCAAACCTGTTATTTTGTTGGAAGTAATTTACAGAGTGTGTCAAATGAGGACACAAGAAGCTTACATTGTACTTTAATTTTTTTATTTTTTTCAATAAAGGGACAAAATGGGTGTATGAACAGGTTAATGCAGACAACTGCCAAAAAAACACAGACAGTGGTTTTTCCAATAGAACTTAACAAAGACCAGAAACAAATACAATAAAAAGCCAGGTTGTAATGACCTTTGGTCATCCAAATAAAAAAAAATAAAAACAGAGAAAAATAAAAGATCAAATTAAGTGCCTCTGTTTTGAACAGGGCATATAAGCAATAATAAATAGTGACTCCCATAGTAAAAGATAAAA